TTTCTTCCTCATTCACGCAAACACCTGGAACGCGAACGTTTTAATTCATTCGGACACACTAATGAATACATAATATCGATGACTCTGGGTCCGGAAGGATGAACTCGCCTCTGTCTTTAAGGCATAATGTACTTCCGAAAGCCATAATTGCTGACTGAACCACAGATAAGACCAGTTTTCTGTGAAGTCACCAACAACATCAAAGGAATTCCGCATGTTCAAAGGGGACAACTTGCTTCATTTACACGCCGAATAGTGTTGGATATAAGTCAGGTAAAATAATTTACCTTGATTAGATTTTCATGAGCACGCTTCAAAATGACACATTTGACTTAAAGTGCATTGAGAGGAAACGCTAGCGGAACGCAAATCTGCGCGCTGTTTACTCACCATCTCGATGGATTCGATGAAGGAACTCCACCGTCATCTGTAGAATTTCGGCCTTCTCCAGTTTCGACGACGGCTGTAATAACAAAGGAAGATAAATTGAAACTGTGATCGCAAGCGTTGTATTTACATAAAATTAGATGGTCAAAATTTCGCATCTCCTCTGAGTGACCATGTCTTCTGCCCAGTGATGTTAAGCAGTAGACACTTTTACCCACAGCATGTTTTACTGTAGTTTTCGTTTAGGCACGGCTTCTATCACTGCGCCAACCGTCGTATGCATACGACTTATTGCCAACAAGCCAGACACATTGCAAAAATTAGTATGCGTGCATAGCAAACGCTTAAAACGAAGCTAGCTAGTCTTGAAAACAGCGGGAGGTACTACGGGGTTCTGCGGCTTTTCACAAAAACCTAGTATCGTCTTATTGTCTGACATACTGCGCTCTCGACTGCTCGCTGAACTACATCGCAAAACTGACTAGAAGTCACTGATGGCTGGCGTTATTCCGATCAGAGGACCAGATCAGTTCAAGATATATCTCACGGTCTCTTCAGCAGAGCTGAAATGTTTTTCGAAGCCCATTCCGGAAAGTCATTGTTAATGGCTGCTGCGCCTAGAGTTCTCTCTTTGATTACTATCATGCACGTTTCTGTCAAGGTCTGCTGAGCTCTTTGTGTCAGTCCCAGTTTTTGCTGGGTCATAATTATTATTTACGTTTCCGCACGCGAACGCACGCGGGAACATACAAGCAGACTGAAGTATCTGTGCCAGGCAGCTGGCGAAGACGCCTCAACGC